ATTTTATTAATGGAAAATCAGTTTGAGATACTATTATTTAGGTGCATTTTATCAACTACAACACTATCTGTCCCTTCCTTCTTCCCTTCTTCGTTCCTCCTTCCTGCTGTCTCTCCCTTCTTGTCCTTTCTACCCGTCTTCCTCTTGTTTTCTCTGGAGGCACAAATAGGGCGAAGCGCCCGCAGCCGGCAGGTTTCCTGGCACACTGCTCCTCATCCTATGCCTTTTGTTTCCATCAGTGGACAACTATTCTCCACCTCTGCTGTGTCAGTAAATATTTATTGGCCTTCCTTTTCCTCACCGCCTCCACTGATTTCAGTGTGTATCTCTGTTCCTGTGTTTGGACAAATATGTGTAGTTTGCATGTTTATACACTCGTAAAACTCCCTTTTAATGCATGTATGTGTGTGTGTCCATCACTTTCTCTTACCCAGTGTCCAGTGCTGTCACTCACACAATTTAGCAATGTGCCCCCTCATCTTCTCTTCATCATACATTTGGCGAACAGCCATCAGAGGAAAGAGGAAAATGAAGAGGAAGTTATTGCAGTTTTCTCTTGCACGTTCCTGTCACCTCTACTTGCTCATCACAACCAGAGTTCATGCACTGGAAAGGCAAGTAGGAAAAGAATTCTGCGAGTAAATGCACAACCTTAGTAAGCAAAAATCTCTCTGCCCGCTCCCTCAGTGCTACATACATATGCACAAACACACTCCCATTTGCTCCTTTGAGACCCGTGGCCTCGTGCTAGAGAGGGCTTCCTTCCTGCAGTTAAGACAAAGGATGCTAGGGACCTACAGGGGACCTGGGGCCTCTGCTTCAAAGTCACAGGAAGCTCTGGTGTTGTCTCTTCCTGTGGATGGTGTTGGAGCGTGGGGGCCAGCTGCCTATGTTTTCACAGCCAGGGATGAACAGATAGGAGTGTGCTTTTATCTGTCGCTGTGAGTCACAGATGAGGTAGGTAAAGTAGCACACATTGCACATCTCAAATCAATTACTGGCAACAAATTATCAGTGAGGAGTAAGAGACCCAACAGATGCATCAAATTAAGATGAACATTATAAAATCAATTTAGTGTGAGTGTATCAGTTGGGTGCATCACGGTGGCGCAACTGGTAGAGCTGCTGTCTCTCAGCAAGCAGTTCCCTGGGTCAAATCCCGGTCCAGGGGCCTTTCTGGGTGGAGTTTGCATATTCTCTCCATGCATGCGTGGGTTTTCTTCGGGTACTCCGGTTTCCTCCCACAGACCAAAAAGGCAAAAGCATGCATGTTAGGCTGATTGATAACACTAAATTGTCCCTAGGTGTGAGTGAGAGAGTGAATGGTTGTTTGTCTCTATGTGGCCCTGTGATGGACTTGTGACCTGTCCAGGGTGTACCCCGCCTCTCGCACAGTGATTGCTGGACATGGGCACCAACGACCCCCATGACCCAAAATGGAAGAAGTGGGTAAAAGATAATGGATGGATGGATGTATCAGTTGGCTATCATGATGTTTTGGCTTGTGTAACCTTCACCACCATCTCTGCAGAGCCCACACATGCTTTCACTGTGAACAAGTTTGTGTTTGTGCCTCTTTTCCCATATTTAGAAGGATTTATGGGGGTGTGCCATGTGTTTCCAAACCTTCCGGTGTGCACCCACAAGTGTGTGTGTTTGTTTGTTTGTTTTTTTCCCCGTGTTCGCCTTGGCTTATCCGATGCTCTCCTCTTACTCTCTGGCAGCAGCAGGACAGTTAATCAATCAAATATTTAAGCAGTGCTTCAGTGCTCAGTGGGTAGTCCTAGATTATCTGTGGCTGTTGGCAGTGCGTAGCACAGCCACATTATGAGCCTTGTCCCTGACTGCCATCGTCATGGGGTGCTTCTTTCACACACACTCACACAGACACACACACTATCCTTCTCATTGGCTTCTGCTCAATCTTCAGTCCTTCTCACTTGGACGCTATATTTTGTCCTGATTCTCATTCTCACTAATTTTTCTGTCATTCGCTTTCTCTTGTTTGCTGCTCTCTATTCCTATTCTCTACTTGCGCTTGCTCCCTGTGTATAATTGTGGCTTTTCACTGTGACTGTCTGACAGTGAGCAAGGCCTCTTAAAGAGCTCTCCTCTTTCTGTCTTTGCCTGTTTTTCTTTTTTTCTCTTGCACTGCATTCTTTCTAGGGATGAGTCTGCCTGTCTCCCTGCAGGGAACTCCATTGTGGATTACTATTCAGTTTTTGCCCAATTATCTACTGGCTTTTGCTGCCTTTGACACATAATTATCAAAAGCCTAAATAATTGTCTTTATTATTGCCGGTGTTTAGATGAAGCGTCAGCGTAGCAGTCGTGAGCACAGGAGCATCACAGGGAGAGGAGTGAAATGAAGTATTTATCTCAACTAGAGATTAGCTTAGCATGCTGTTAAATGATGTCTCTATGCTTATTTCAACTCCTCATCTAGATAAATAAACATGATTAATATGCCCCTTTCCCTCCTTCATGCACACAGCCATCCCATATCACATTCAGTGGTGAAAGGTAAAAAAGTATAGCAATTAGCTGGCTTTCTGCTGGAAGCAGCCTGCATCATTAAATACTGCTTAGCACCAGTCGGTGCAAGACACAAAGGTTAGAGAAAAGTTTGTTTGTTGCACTGCTTTGTATAAATCCAAATGTGTTTAGGTTAGCTATTTTATGAGACCTTTTTAAGAGCTTTTATTTAGTTATATGTGCCAGGGGGTCTGACATTTAGGAGGTTTGTGAGTTTCTATTAGGCTCGCTGCAATGTAATTAGAGAACAAAATTGTATTTTTAAAGCAAGAACGGGGAAGACGTGTAAAAAGAAGAAAGAAAGATTTCAGTAGTTGATCTAAGTGTAACAATGTGTGATAAGGGATTCATTTTAAGTTTGAGTCACTATTTTTGCATAACTGATTTTGATTCATGCTTCAGTAGAAGGCAAACTTGATGTGTCGTGGTCAAATTAAGTCCTATCTGCAGTGAAGACTAAACTCTAAAACACTATGAACACAGAAATGGGATTTTTATGCCTTTGGATACCATTTGCTCTTAATTGTGACCTTAGCTAGGATATGGTACTAAAGATAAAGGATTTATTGGTGACACACATTCCATTCAAGTGCCCTCAGTAAGATAGATATAGCAGTACCATAGTATCGTATCATCAATGCCTTGTCCCACACCCAAGTTTTGTTCTGCATATCCAGCTGTTCTAGCATTAAAGAAAAGGTCAGGAGAAGGGCAGCTAATGTCTTAACATCTGAGTGTGGGTTTTAGTTCAACAAGTATTTCCACATCCCCCCCCGTCCAGCACAGGACTAACCAGAACAGCTGTCTTTTTTTGTTGTTAAAGCTGCTGTCTACAGTTACAGAGGGATTAACACATTTAACCTCTGTCTACACAGTACATGGCTAACACTGACATACATGCTAACACAATGAGTTATGTGATAAGTCCATTGAGATTTATATTCACGCGAGTTTCTGGTTTAACGGTTCTATTTTTTTGTAATGCATGTTTCAAGTTGGCTTATGCATTTAACATGCAGCTAATCACAGTTGTCATTTTGGCTTGTAAAACTTTGGACCCATTGGGGGTCTATATTACAGCAGTTTAAGGCTGCAGTGCAAAGAGCCTTCCCTTTTGTTCTTTTTATTATAACACCTGACTGTGTTCGTGTTTGGCTTTTGTCACTTGAGTGACAGATATTGCCTATACAATTACTTCTTATCCTTCTAAAGCCAATTTGTACTTTCCTGCTCTGTTTGATGTTTTTATGGTCAATATACTATTGTGGAAACCTTATCACCTGAATACTTTATCACCAAAAGACCTTAGTGCACTAATAGATCAAATTTCCACTCATTCAATCTCACTTTAATTTAGCAAGGCATCAAGGAATGTTTTAAATTAGACAGCAATAGTTTGTCTTTTTGACAGCTCCAGCTAAAACCAACAACAAATTTATAGTATAACCTCAATATAAACTGTCCATTATCAGTTTTAGTCAAGGTTCTGAACTTGCATTTCAGCCTCATTTTGTTTTATTCTACTGACTTTTAACTTGCTAATAAACCTTATTCTTACCAACCACTACCAACTAATGTATTTATTCCAAACTTTAGTTTTCTGTATCTTTGCCACTGAAGTACTTGTCTTTTTTTAGGTACCAAGCCATAAAACCCAACAGACGTTTAAGTGTTTGGGATGCGGCAATTTATTGTGTTATGATAAAGCTTTAAAATGGTTGTTTAAAATTTAGTCATGCCATTTGTAGACCAATTTTTCTTTTCCCAGATTTACTAAACATATACAGTAAGTGATTGTTAACCTATTGTCGTTAGCCCCGTTCTCCTTTTTTATTATCTTAAAGCCAAGCAGAGTGAAACAGCTTGTTCCATAGGTCTGGCTGTAGTACTCCTTGGGGTCAGACCAGCGGTGTGGGAAGTCCATTGTAGTGTGGTAACAAGTCCTTTGTGTGACATTTTCCTTAGCGCTGACATTCAGAGGGGAATAGGAAGACGGGCTTGTGAGCGCTGCATTCTTTGTAACATCTGAAGGGAAAGGGTATTAAGAATGGGGACCAAGGCATTTGAATGTCCACAGGAAAGGACATTTGCACAGAACGTGACAAGGACACACTACAGTGGAACTCTGCTCTTTTATATATCACTTTATAAAATTATGCTGTACACCAGGTTGAATCAGTATTCTCCGGTTACAAAGTTGTCCTCTGGGCTATTGCCATCCCAGTCTATAAAGGGGGCTGACAGTGCATACTGTACTGAAAGTACTTTTTTTTTAGGCAAATATCTACTGACATGATGGTATGCCATATTAAAATAAGTGTAGTCATATTTTAAAAGATGCTTTGTTTCTTGTAAAGGAGTTTTCCAAATGTTGTCTAAAACTTTGTCATCTTCCAAAACAGGTGCATGATTTTAAGCATGCTTGAACTAAAACTAACACAAGTTTAATTTGCTTTCTGTGCCAGATGAATCAAAGGGAGCTGCAAGTGAAGAACAGAGTGTGTGCTGTGGCTCTCACTGACTCGTCACACAACATCTGGCTACAGGATACCAGCAAAGGGACACAAGACTGGATGTTTCAGGTGAAAAAAAAAAAAGCATATGTAATCAAACACATAGCCACTTCCTTAAAAATAAATATAATGCAAACTGGTTGTATGTATAGATTTCTTTTCTCTCTCTTTTACTACTTGACACTTTTATGCTGACCCCCACAGGTACCCCCTGCCAAAACTAAGCACTAGAAGTCCTGAAGAATTGTTATTTGTTTGTCCTTTTTTATAATCAGCTTCCACTCTTTCTCCTGGGAGTATGTCTATGAATAACTGAGAAAGTGCACCCTGTTAGGATGCAGCTTTGCAGGCGTTTTGTTCTGATGTGCTTGTATGGTAACCACACGAGACAGAATGCACGTGCACATGTGCATTTGTGTTGGCTTTATATGAGAATTTGCCCTTTCTGGTGTGACCTCTGTGCCATATGCATCACCTGGGCTTACTCAGTATGCACATACAGATGAGAAACAGCCAAGACCAAAGCTTCTGGAGAGCTAGAGATGCAAATGTCATGTGCTCTTTCTGTCACACACCCACACCTAACCCATACCTGTATTTGTATTACATTCTCTTTTTATAACCGTGGCCTTTTGTTTTTACTATTTCATCTCCACATTTTTTGTCTCTGTGTGTAGTTTGTGTGTCCAAGTGCATTGTGTGTCTAAATGTTTATGTATGTCAGTTTGAGCGTTAAGGATTTAGGACTGCGTTTCTTTATCATTGTTCATTAGTTCAGTTGTTTCGTTCATCTAAGAAATTTAAAGGACATCAGATAACTGGACATTTTATTTTATTTTTTTAATTTGTGTTGATTATTCGGAGCATTAAGTCTGAAATAACCTTCAATGCCAAGCCATATAAAATAGACAGGCAAGGATTCACTTTCGCTCGCACTCATTAACCAGCTGTCCTTTTTGGCTGGATGAAAGCAGGACTCTGCTTAATTAAAAGGTAAAAAAGGTTAACATTTGGTTTTTTCTATGGGTTTGATACTGCTCATCTTTCTTCATTGCTTGGATGGGCATTTTAAAGTCATTACAAGAACCAAATACATTAAAAATATTTTTTATTGAGTAAAATAAAATGTACCCAAAACTTGTATGCGTGATTGAGAGTAATGCTACCAGTGTAGGCAGAAATACTTTTCCAAAATATGTTCAGATAGCTTAGTGAATGAGATGCAAGATTTTGACATGCTTTTTTGTTTAGTTGTTTTTTGTTATTTTTCTTCTGTTAAATAGCCTGTTTCTGCTTTTTTTTAGAGTCTATCATTTAAACATATCAAAATACAAATCTTACTGTCCTGAAATGCTCCTATAACGCCAAGTGTTTGGTTTGCTGCATAAGAAAACAAAAACTCTTGAGTTTTTTTTTTTTTTCCTTTTATGTGATAATTCACCATCCATCCATTCATTATATTTACCCGCTTCTTCCATTTTTGGGTTGCGGGGGTCGCCGGTGCCCATGTCCAGCAAACACTGTACGAGAGGCGGGGGACACCCTGGACAGGTCGCAAGTCCATCACAGAGCCACATAGAGACAAACGAGACAATCAACCATTCACTCTCTCACTCACACCTAGGGACAATTTAGTGTTACCAATCAGCCTAACATGCATGTTTTTGGTCTTTGGGAGGATACCGGAGTACCTGGAGAAAACCCACACATGCATAGAGAGAACATGTAAACTCCACCCAGAAAGCCCCCC